ATGTTCCCTGGTAGCTTCGGTCATTAACCCTTTTTTTTTTTACTTTTACAGAGAATGGAATCGTTTTCATTCACATGGAGAAAAGAACCTAAAGATATCAACCTACAATGCAGGAGTCTATTTCATCATATTTCCCGAACAAATATGTAAAGCTAGCACGTTTAAGACAGAAAAGTGCAACTAGCAAGCTTTACGAAAATGGATCATACACCAACCATTCACAAGCAGACTACAATTTATTCATACTAAACACCAAGATAGATTCAAATTTTATATTTGAAGGCGAAAAGGGCACATCAATACAAGTCTGAACATATTCAATACATACAAGATTGTAATATTTAATACACTGCATCCACCCACTACCTGCTGCTTGATTTCAACTACATCAGATTTGCATGAGAAAAGATCGGTTTAATTTGTGTACGCAGATATGGAGAAAAGGAAAAATGAAAAGGAGCTAGTACCAAGAACTTCTTTCTCATTTCACATAGACCGTCCAACAACCTTTCAGACCCTGCATGAAAAGAAACAGAGGAAGCACATAAATGAAAACGAAAGAATTGATTACTATAACAATATGCAAACTTGAAACCACCAAATGCCAGGAACCCAAAAACAAAAAAAAATGCCGTGCTTACCCATGTCAACAGTTGAAGTCAAGCTACATAAAACCAAGAAAATAGAAAATTTTGTTTTAGATGGAAACTGTAATTTTATTCAGTTGGATTTGTATCATCGAGTACTAGCATGCTTCTGAATCTTAGCATGAGAACTCCTACTGCATTATAAATTTGTCAAAGCAAATCTGTGCAAAACAAAAGCCGGTTTCATCCAACGAGGCAGATAAGATATAGTATGGGAAGAAGATGAGAAACGGTTCAGGACAAGGCATTTTAACTCCGGATTTGAATCCAAAAAATGTTTTCTCTGAAGTCTAGACTTCATAACCATTAGACCAGAGGACTTACACGTGAATGAAAAATAGTTCATGTACTGTTTCTAGCACTGGAATACAGAGCATGGCAATTTAGTGAAAGAACCAGCATACATATTAACGCTTCATTCAGTCATTCTAATACTAAATTCTAATTTCGAATTCCAAATTAACACCTCTTATGCATTAACAAGAAGAAAGAGGTGAAATAGATAGTTGAGCTAAAATAATATTGCAATTTATAGACAAATCACCTTATCAATTGAAAAAAGAGAGAAGATATAAACTCGAAGCATACCATTTGATGATTGAGCCAAATAGAAGATGCTGCATAATAGGAACCTTCTCCAAAACTTCCACTTTATACATCTTGAGCATCCCACTGTTCACCTTATTCCAAGTAGGAACACAGCTAATGTCATCCAACAATGGTGAATGTTCAGCAAAAAAACCCTTCTTTGCTTTCTTCACAAATACGATACATGATAGATACAGATACTCATTTGCAAACTTCTCCAAAATATCTTCATTATGAATTGTCTTTGGCTTCATATACTTGTGGTCAATCAACTGTGATGACCCAAATATAAATGGCAAGAAATGATAGTCATCAAGTCCCCACACACCGTGGGATCCTGCAGGCTCTAAAGAGTATGTAAGTTGCAATTTTCTCATCAGGTCCATGTACTTGACAAACACTCTTGCGATCAATGCCGGATAATCCTCTTCTTTAACAATGCCCAATCTTGCTAAACAATACAACCACGCTGCAAAATTTGTCTCATGACCAGTACCTATTTGATAAAAAATAATTGTTACCCATTGCAACGAGGAAAAAAAGATGAGTAGCATAAAGTCTACCAACATTCATGAACCCATTATGGATCATTGATGAACAGCAACAAACAAAGCTTTATTCCCAACAAATACAAGTCATATCATAGATACATTAAAATAAAATGTATTCGAGCATACGCATGCAACTTATTCATAATTTTGTTACTGAAGATTAGAAGGCATTCATTGAGCACTTGTGATATATATATTTTGCTGAGATGACAATCATCGAGTGGAAGTGGAGAGATAGAAATTGGAATAAGAGATGTTTCAAAGTCTGCTTCATCCTCGTTATTAAGATAGTATCGGACCTCCAGTGCCAGTTGCACTGCAAGTTCTAAGTAAAAAATTTATCCCATGGTCAATCTGAATCAATTAGATTAAGGATCAAAGACAACTCACTGACATTTCGATTCAAAATTCAATCTTAAGATCATTCAACTAGAAACAATCTTAAAGCATTCCAAAGGGAATCAACAAGTTTCGGGATTGTTTCCATCTGGGAACTGCTCTCAGAGTAAAAACAAAATCACTAAATCTAACTTGCATGAAAGATAAACGTAAAGGTTAACTATTGTTGGTTATTTGTTACGAAATGGAAGTTTTTTTTTTCCAGTGATTCGTCTTAAACGACTTTATTGCATTTCAGATTTTTTTCTTAAAAGACTTCAAAGTCATTTTAGCTTCTGAGTTTATGGTCAATTAGCTGGACAACAACATGGTCTATTTTACTTGAAAATACTTTACAATCTTATAACAAATAAGAAAAAGATGTCTTAGTATGATAATATATATGCCTTTTAAGAAGAAAGCATTCAAGGGAAGACTAATTTCCTTGCACGGTTTCTAATTACATAAGGCATCTGAAGGTCAATTGATGACTTGTGATGCTAGATGAATGATTTAAGAAAAATGAAAAATGTAAAATTGATCAACTATATTTACAATAGTGATTCTCTGTGGACTTTGGACTACTTCAATAGTATGAGAACGGTCATGCCACAGCATAAAATGAATTGTCTTGGAAGTAGTCTTCAGCACAACATAAATCCTCATTCGTCATATACTGTTATAGTTTTTTCGAAGGATTCAGAATGAGCAATATGTTCACATATCTTCTAAAATTGAAATTAGGCATCCCTTTGGTACACCAATAATAGCTATCCTCCAGTGAGGGTTTGTTTCTAGAAAAAGGTTTGAGCCAAACCATAAAAAAGTTCCTTGTTTAGCTTATGCCTATTAGAGCATCTTCAAGAGACTGTTTAAATATAAGATCCTCTCTATTTTAAATAAATAAACCTTAAAATTATATTTCAATGGACTCTTTAAATTGACACTTTAATATAGATGGTGAGTTTGACTCTCTAAATGTGTAGAGTCATTCCCACTATCCATAATTAAATGCATTCGAAGTAAGGAAAATAATATAATAATTTGGAAGGAAGCTAGTGAAAATAAATGATAGGGAAAAACCATAATTTTATTGGGAATAGCAAAATTAAGTGTTAAATATAAAGAGCGTGTTGGAGTACTTAAAAATTTCTCTTTAAATTGTAGAAATGCTCTTTAGAAATAGTCTTGAAATGCTCTCAAGTCTTTAACATATAAATTTCCAAAAGTACTTTAGCATAAAAACTAATTTCATTTACTCAAAACTTTAATACATAAATATAATCATGAAATGCTGATCCAAAATTGATGAATCATTAAATGTTTAGTATCATTTTGACAATGGTTATTTTCTACGCAATTTGCTTACGACACCTACAAGATACATAGTTTTCCAACATTACCTACAACAAATATCATCTACATCCCCGAGGCAAAATGTTTGTGTAACATGAATATCCATATTGCAATATATACAGAAAAAATAAATTAAAAACTAATAGAGGAAAAGATATAAGCACCATAATCAATGCGGCTAGAGTTGCCAAAGCTATCAGTGAAATAAGGCACGAGTTCCACAGTAGCACCGTGAAGATCCGGCGGTAGGAATTTCAGCATAAAGGACTCGGCATCTGAGCTTATCCTCTCGTGCCATGCGCGATAAGCAACATTCCCATACCGAGAGGATTGAGGAGCCGGCGGGATTTCATCTACATAATCACTCAGATTCTGAAGAATTGAAATGATGACTTCGATGGTGGAAGAAACATGGCAGGGATCTGAAAGCTTGCGGGATTTGATAGACTCAGAGAGTGAAACAACGAAGCCGATAAAATTGTGAAAAACGGGAGAGGAGTGGAACCGAACGATGTCATCTTGGGAGTGGATTATCTTTGACGGGGTGGTGAAGTGGTAGGGCGGAGAAATGGGGTCCACTTTTTGGTGTTGCGGGACCGGAGTACGGATGATGGCCTCTTTGGTGTTTGTTGGTGGGTTGGGGAGGTTGACAGCGGGGAATCTGATGGGGACGTATGAAGGGACGGCGGATATGTCCGGCGGAGGGGGGAAACAAGTGGATACGCCACAGTTGGCGCTGGTTGTGGGTGGTTGAGAGAGTTTTGATGGCTCTTCTTGGTGGTCGTGGTGGTCGCGTGGCGGTTCCATTTGATTGCAGACCGGCTTTGAATGTTCTAAAGTGAACTTTTGTAAAAATAAGGGGTTACAAAGTTTCACAAGTAACGTGTTATATGTATATAGCAATGAAATATTTTTCACAATGGCAAAATTAATTGATTTATCCAAACCCAAAATAATTTGGACTTATCTAAGAAAAGATAGACATGGAAAAAATTAAAAATCTTATCCCCTAAACACAAATTTGAACATGTTAGAGCCCGTAAAATTAAAAAAATTACTCTCCAACAATTTCAACTCTTAACACCTCGTCGCTTTGACAGTGTCTAAATGCCTATTAGAAGAAGATAGGTCGTTATTACCAAGACGAAGAATTCGCACCATTTCTTCATCACTATCAATAATTATGTTGGATAAAATCATAAAATATAGTAATTTCATTAACCAAATATGTAATATTCATGCAGACTGACACTCATTACCGTATTCACACAATGGATAAATTTTCCAACCGCCATAATCTGCTATTTTTTAAGTAAAAAATCTGCAGGAAATGGATGAGAAAAATAGGATATGATTCGATACATTCTTCTTTTGTAATACTTTCCAAGTTACTTCTTCATCAAAGGCAAAATTATAGTTCAAATATTCTGCTCATTTTAAGATTTAAGTGCCACCAGATGTTACAACGAAATGACAATACTTATTGTATGGGGGCTAGTTGCTTCAACTTCGCTTGTAATATTGCCCCGGTTTCATCTGCTATGCTTTTCTTCTTAGTGGCAACCTGCATAAAACCAAGAGTCTACTTATTGAGCTAACGCGTCAAGGGTGAAACAGAAAAAGCAGAAAAAGTTTCATGTTTGGATAAAATTTTGAACTCCAAAACCAAGGAAATGCTACATTAAAAGTTCGTAAGGACAATGTTCTGTTGTAATTGTGGTTTGAAGATAAGATGAAAAATCTCTAAAAAGTAACAAAATATAATAAATATGTACCTCAAGAAGTTGGTCATAATTAGACTTCAGCAAGTTAATCTTACGCTCACAGTACTCCTTTCCTTCCATCATTGTTTTCTGCTCAAACAAAAATAATGCAAAGATTATGTCAGTACCTTCAATTTTCAGTGTATGCCATGTTGAAGAAAGCAGTAAAATAGCATGTCCATTTGTCTTCGACTACTTAGTTAGTTGCTCGTCCTTCCTTTTAGTATTGGAGCCTAATCGTATTATACACTTGTGCTCTTAACTGCAGGTTAGATCATACTAATATTCATACTATATAAAGAAATTTTTAGGGGGGCAGTTTCGGTGTATTTGTGTGACAGGCATGAGAAAAAGTGTACGAGTCTATTATAGTGAAACCTGCAACAGGTGAAAATAGTAGACAAGGAGGGTGAACTATAATAAATCTGTGTGATTGCTTTGTATATTTCTGAATATATTCAATTTATTATTGCTCTTGCAAGAAGAGATAACGGTTTAAACCGTAACACTCCTGAATACCTCTTCGTTATTAGCATCTCAGCAGGCTTTAGGCCCAACAATAAGAAATGAAACTTTCCGCCGACATTGGACTCACAAGATGGTGGCCTATATTTAGATCATTAATTTAAGTGACCGAGGCTGAATTGGGGCTTAATAAATAAACCCAACATTCTCTCTCTTCTTATATTGTTTCGATAGGAAACAAAAAATATTTATTAATCAATGAATAACTTTACAACTATCAAGAGGACAAGATGTCCTCTATCTATAAAACTAAAGAAATCAAGAAAAAAAACATCTTTCAAAATAATAACAATTAAAGAAAAAGGAGAACAATATAAACTCCTTTGATGTAGATGCCCATAGAGACGCTACAAACTAGGCCCTTCTCAACTCAAAAATATCTAGTACTTTTCATTCAAAATCATGCAATTTCTTCACTTCCATATTACCCCTAAATCAACGATACTATCTAAACCAAAACCAAACCAGTATGTCCTTTCAAGAGAAAATCACTACACCCTCGAGCAATATCTAAGAAAAACCTGCTTATTATGATAACCTACTCATAACTTGCCAGCAACATCACAATGTACAGACAGATGATATTTTGTATCTTCTTTGCATATTGAGCAGCATGCTGAGAGAAAGCAACATGGGTATTTCCTTTGTGTTGAATCACAAGTATTGATCTTCCTATAAAACCAGTGAATCAAACACCTTAATCTTGTAATGGACACACGATTTTGAAATGAAACTAGGTAGAAAATGGATGACAAAAGAAATAATTAAGGCATAGAACTATGACCAGCACAAAAAAATTACAGAAGTAATCCACTGTGCACAATCTTTTATTTGATCGGAAAATCTTCAATGAAGAATTTTCAAATACATCTAACAAAGAAGCAAGTAACAATCATATGAAAAGTTATGTCAGAAACCATTCGCTCAAAACTTGTGTCATCCTATTGGCTAAAACTTGAGCAATAATCATGTACAAACTTGACAACCGAACTGATTCGGATGAAAATTATTAATACTAAACAATCTGATTATTTCAGAATGAGACATGAAAAATAAATTGTGATAAGTTGATCACTCAGTTCTGAAAAAACTCCTCAATCACCTTCATGCAGTCCCCTCCCAAAATGTCCCAACAACACTCACAATCCCCAGGAGAAACCATCCAAACTCGGAGATTGAAAGTCTTGGACAAAAAACAGCAAACTTTAGGTTCAAAGTCCAGGCTATCACAGATGTGGATCAGATCTGGAGAGAATAGCCATGCAGGATTAGGTGAAGATCAAACAGATTTGAGGAGATTGATGTTAAATCATCAGAATTCTAGAGCAGGGGAAAAATGGTAGGGATCTACTTACTTAACTATTTCATATGTTTCTAGGATTTATAAGTGATAGCAGATATAAAAAATATTGTGCAGCAGCAAAGGTATCTGGATTGCCACAAGGAAAAAGTCAAAAGTATCAAGCTCTCACATTCTGAAGGCTTGAAGTTCAAGAATGAGTATGAAACACTTAAGGAAAGAGTAGATTCCATGCGTGGGAAAAATAATACTTGACTGATTTGAAATTATATTACAGTATCAAATTCATGCTTCAGAATTTTTGGGCTTCCAGTCAAGAAAACCAATTGACTTGGTTGTTTTACATATCAACACTTGACAGAGCATCAGAATCTGAAGCATTCAGTAAGCTCAACCAGGAAATTATGGGAAAAGGAGAAATGAACAGAATAATAATAAAGTTATCGGGAAAGTTTTTATATTGCAATGCACTTTGCTACCTTTGATGAATGGAAATAGTGATTGTTCGGCTAAGACCTGAATAATTTTCCAATCGCATTAAGTCGTGTCCACAAAGTGCTGGTTCATACGAGAGTTTGAAGAAGCCAAGCTTCAATGCTTAAGTTACTAACTGATAATGGCATTAGTTAATGTTTCAATATTAACAATCTTACATTATATCCAGGTCACATTAAAATAAACCTTGATGATGGGGCAATTGAAAGCCTGCCTAGCACCTGGCTTATTAGAAGAGCTTGAAGATGCTTAATTCAAATGGTTGCAACAAAAGGAGGTGGTTATCAAAAATTCTACTCTAGGGAGCCCTCTATCAGATTGTAATTGGATTATTAGCACTTTGGTCATCAGTTCTAGCATTTACTGATTTACAAGCATTGCCATTCCAATAGCTCACCAAATGTGAATTTTCAAGCAGAGAAATTATGAGAGAAAACCATGTCCAATGAAAGCTTACATAAGAAATAAGAACTGAAAGGCTTGTTTTAGATGTCAAAGAGCTCATTTAGAGCACTGTGATGTGAGATTAAAAATTTCAGCTATTAACGCTGAAAAAGCACCTAGTTACATGGCTTTAATGTATCACTGTGTAATTTTTGGTAGACTACAACATATTCTCATCAGCAGCCCTAACCCTTGTAATCACCAAACAACAGTACTTTCGGTGGAGGTGCCTAATCACAACAAAAAATAGTATACATCCGTTGGACGGCTCAAACACACACTGTGATATGCCATTAAAATTGCTCATAAATCTAGCAAATAACATCTGAATGCAAGCTGCAAAACTAAATCAGCTTTTTTTTCCTTCTTCCTTTTCTCAAATTACAAAAGAAATACTTGGCACAGCTATAGAAATATTTATTTACACAAATTTTGAAAATAAAATCTGTATCACCATAAAATATTTTGAACTCAACTTCTAATCAATGCGTGACTTGCATGCTATAACAGCTAAAACTTCATAACTAGATATACAAACAGAAAAATATTTTATCATGAAAACTAGAATAACAGTGAACAGATTCCCAAATTTTCCAAGCACTGTATAGTAATTTAGGACTAACCTCAATAAAGTAACCAGTGCCTACATCCACCAGCACCTTTTCTGAATCATCCAGCGTTCCAGGAACATAAAGCGACGCCGTCAAAGGTACCAGCATTTTCTTCCCTGAACCCACAAAATTTTTAAATACAAATCTTTAGTAAAATAATACAATATGCACACATAAACAGAAGATTTTTTTATATTTACTTTTTGTAAACAGCAATAATAATAGTAATACCTTGGGGACGGAGGGAGAGGTCATGGAGGGCGGTTGAGGCGATTTCTAGGCGAGCGGTGGCGGTACGGATATTGTTGAGGCTGTCTTGAAAGAGATTGAATTCTAGATCGGCTTGCTCTTTTAGGGCTCTGAGTTGCTCCACGCTCATCTTCTCCATCTCTAACCCTACTCCTCTCGATGCCATCTCTCTCTCAATTACTGCTACTGCTTGACTGTGCTGGGCTGTGTTTGCAAAGCTTAAGTTGAATGAAATTAATAAACTTAATGATAAAATAATAGATGATATAACGCCTTTCCAGGTACGCAAACAGAACGCCCCTATAGCTCAGTGGTAGAGCGTCAGTCTTGTAAACTGAAGGTCTGTAGTTCGATCCTGCATGGGGGCATTTTTGATTTTTTGTTTTGTTATATTTTACTTGAGTCATTATTTTGATCTATTCATTTTCCGTTTTCTTTATTTCTACACTATCCTTAAAAGAGAGAACCCGGCTTTTACTATTCATTCTGGTGGAGGAGGTTTCACACCACTGTAGCTAAATTTCTTGCACTCACTGTAGAGAAGCATGTTAAAAGAGAGAACCCGGCATTTACTATTCATTCTGGTGGAGGAGGTTTCACACCACTGTAGCAAAATTTCTTGCACTCACTGTAGCGAAGCTTGTTTTACATTGTTTCAATTTACAATTTTTTATTGATTTCAATTTCAACCGTTGATTCCTACTTTTTTTTACTGCAGCCCAACTTCATTGACTATAAGGTAGTGTATAGTTTTTAAAATATCTCTAAAATATCTTTTCAATTTTTCTAATATAGATTGTCGGTTAGAAATTCTTATATTATATTTTTATTTATTGAAAAAATAATTTCTTTTCAGACCCAAATATCTTCCACATCTATACTATCTTCCTTCCGCCCTATTTTTCGTTATGTGTATTTTTTTCTTCTACAAATAGAACCGTTCAATACAATTTTCACATAATCATCCAGTAAATTGTGAGTCATATCTTTATTTTGCTTTCTTGAGCTTCATGTTGATCTCCTCTATATGTTGTTACGTTTTACTTTTTGCATTTACAGCTAGTTTTTATTTTTCTCATTTCCATAATAGGAAACAGTTAAGTGGCATATAAATCATATATCCCTCCTTCTCTTACAAGAGGGAACTCAAGGATCACTGTTTCAATTTGTCACACTCGTTTTCACACACGAACTTGTTGGGAACTTGTTTTGTACTGTTCAATATTTTCTACCCTATCCTTAAAAGAGAGAACTCGGCATTTACTGTTCATTATGGTGGAGGAGGTTTCACGCACTAATTGGTTTCAAACTGGTTTTGTACTATTCATTATTATTATTTATTTTAGTCATTAACACGGTTAGTCAATAAAAAACACGGATGACTAAAAAAAAAAAAACCCCCCGCCTTCCGATGAAGATAATATCTGCACGCCGACTCCACTATATTATTATATATGTACATGCAAATGCAGTAAACGCGTTTCCAATGAAAATCATACACAGAAAATAAAAAATAAATAAATAAATTTTAGCCGACTTCGTATGAATAAATATCTGCAAACCGACTTCTTCACTGTATGTATTTTGCCACTTCCTGCCCTACATATACATGCAAATGCACTAAACACATTTCCAACTATACAGTTTCATGTTTCTCGAAAAGGAAAATATTTTGATTTCTAACAACAAATATTCTCAATTATCAGTTAGCATTGTGAATTGGCAGAACAATCCATTGAAGGTAAATTTTTATTCATTGTTATATTTTTGTTTTTTGATTTCAATATTTTTTTTTTCCGCAACATGCTTTATGTTTGTTCGTTATTGTTTAGTTTTATTATGTTTTTCGTCCTTTTTTGTTTAGTTCATTATTTATGTTGTGATTTTATTTCATTAAAATGAACCGGTAAATTCAATGAATCGGGGAGAACGGATCTCCCCGTGCGCACACGGCGAGCAGGGAGAAACCATCTCCCCGTGCGTGCACGGGGAGAATTGAACTCCCCGTGTTCTCCCCGTGCACGCACGGGGAGACTTGAACTCTTCGTGCTCGAACGGGGAGAATCCATCTCCCCGTGCCCGCATAGGGAGGCACCATCTCCCCGTGCGTGCACGGGGACGCATTAAATTTTTTTTTTTTAACATACATTCACAATTATATTACTTTTACTCAAACCATTCCATTAACCCCAACATACCAACACTTCCACTCATACATTCAATCAAATATACACGATAATCACCAAATCCAACCACTTATTAATAA